GAATGGTCTGTCTCCTTGACAGACCTGTTCTTCACCTGAAGACGGCTACTTGCGTTGTGGCCGAAACGTCGTGAGAATTATTGTATTATGTTTTATTTTTATTATTTTATTAATATTTTTATTTAGTTTATCCAGGAAAGCCTCACCGAGTCTCAGGACTGTTTTTTTCTGACGACCAAATCACCATGAATGCTCCTGATAGTCAAATATCAGAAGCTCAGCAAGGTTAAGCTGAGTTGATACTTGGATGGGTGCCCACCAGGGCCTTGCCAGGTGTTGTAGGCATCGGTCTAAGGGGCCAGGAGGTTGTAGTGTGGACTGCGGAGTCACTCCTTCATATCCCCCCGTGTGTTCTCTCCGGTTTCCTACCAAATAAAACCAAACACAATTATTCGTGGTTGAGAGTTTAAGCGCGTGTGATTATTAATCAGTAGAGCAATGTAAGTAGACTCTGGTAAATGTGCAGGCATCCCGTTAACGGATTGACCAATTAGTGCAAATTGAAGACGGGGATCACGTGACTTTGCCGAGGCTATGCTTGTGTCTTCTGCTGCGATCATCATCAGCAGCAGTGGAATCAGCAACAGCATCAAGTCATGGTCATTATTAGATGATATCATAATAACAACCATTAAATCATAATCTTCACTGTAAAATACTTAAACTACGCTCGTAATTTAAATAATAAAATGATGGTTATCATCAGTGACCTCTAGACACTGTCACCCTACACACGGTGACCTCTAGACACTGTCACCCTACACACGGTGACCTCTAGACACTGTCACACTACACACAGTGACCTCTAGACACTGTCACACTACACACAGTGACCTCTAGACACTGTCACACTACACACAGTGATCTCTAGACACTGTCACCCTACACACAGTGACCTCTAGACACTGTCACACTACACACAGTGACCTCTAGACACTGTCACACTACACACAGTGACCTCTAGACACTGTCACACTACACACAGTGACCTCTAGACACTGTCACCCTACACACGGTGACCTCTAGAGACTGTCACACTACACACAGTGACCTCTAGACAGAGTCATTCTACACACAGTGACCTCTAGAAACTGCTTCACGTTTTTTTTATATATATTGCATTATTACAAATTGCTTGTCTTTGTATTGCAATGTGATACTAAAAATGCTTAACAATGCAGAATTAAATGTTGCTTCACTTTCATATTTTATAATTACAGGATAGAGAGCTTGATTCTGGCGTATTACCATAGAATGTAGTAGATAGGCCGCCATCTGTAAATTATGATTTTTGCAAAACTGTATAACTTTCAATGGCATTATTTGAGACGGGCTGTACAACGTTATGCAGGATTGCAAATGTTATAGATCGTTTGAAACAACGATTAATTGTAAAGTTTGATAGTTGTATAATTACATGTATAGAGTATAAACTGATCAACTTAAATTTAAAACCACGCTTGACTGCCTCAATGGACTCGTAACAAAAGTCAAGAGTTTCCCAACCCCTTTTGGCATTCCACTGCTGGATGAAGGACTCCCCACTCCACGCCAGTTGTGATCTCCTTTATTGCACTTAATACCATTGTCAGAAGCCTTTTGAGATCGCCTGCTATGGGTCATTAAAGCGATGCAGTCTGAAGAGTTATTAAGATAACTGGGGAACTGTAGGGGCTTCCCGCCCTGTGCGGTGCTAGTAGGGACTGTGAGATGCAGCTGAGACGTGTACAAATAGGCATGGAGAGGCGCACGCTTCACTGAGAAACGTCAAGAGGAATACGTGGGCCAGGGAGGAGAGCCACATCGTATTGATTGTAAAGGAGGCTCCGCTTGGGAAGGACGAACAACAACTTACTTCTTACCCCGTGAGGATGTAAGACACCCAGACACATGTTGTAGGTGGGTGCACCAAAAATCCCCCTATAACCTTCATATACTGCTGGGGAAAGGGGAGAGTGCTGTTAGCAAGCACCAATTAGGTCCGGCACGGGCTTACGAGAGGGGTGGGTGGCCAAGCACCACGCCTGGCCACTTTTGTATTTCCCAATGGTGATGTTTACTCTCCACACCACGTATTCATTTAAGGCTGAGTCTATCTCGTGTCGCCCGGTCGCGCACTCGCCCCACGCAGCCTCTCCACCTGCTTAGCAGCGGAGTGACTGCACTCTTTGGGGCGACGTTAACAATAGGGGAGGCTGGCGATCACAACAGAGACATTGACCGCTAACAGGAATCGTGTGCACTGATTGATCGAAGCTCGAGGCCGCGTGTGCAAACAGCGGACAAAGGCGGAACCAGCTCGGTTCGCAAACATGGCTCAAGAATGTGGGGAACCACAGCGAGTGGGGCTCCACTGTGGAGAGATGTTGACTACCTCGCCTGCTCTGCGGGGAGTTCGTGGGTTCCGTCCCGACCCTGACGCCTGCGTATTTGGAGTTTGCGCGTTCTTCCCGTGGTCGCGTGGATTTTTCTTCGGGTCCTCTGGTTTTTCCTTCCACATTTAGAATGAAAATGCGTTTAGAGTATTTGACTGTAATAAATGTCAACACAAGCCACTTCGATGAGCAATCGTTTGTGGCCAGATCTCTTATGAAAAAAGCTACATAGCTCATTGGGCCTTACCGATAAAATACAAATACATTGGTTTAGTTCAGAGTGTGTGACGGGGAGCGGTGGCGCAGTGGTTAGCCTACCGCGCTACAAACCAGGCTCCCCTAAGTTCGATTCCTGGTCTCTGGGCTAACATAAGTGGTGAGTGATATCTGAACTTATTCTTGGTCGGGCGTGGTTCTGGACTTCATAGATGGTCGCTCACAGCACTTGTGTTACTCTTCTAAAGTTCTATACGGGGCAACTTTCTCATTGTGTGCGATTGACGCTCTGCCATGCACGAGCCCACTCGTGGTCCTATTACAATTCATCATCAGGAATTGTCTATTTACTACAGAATGTATCGTGGCTTCTAGTGATATCCTGTCCAAACCAATTTAGTTTCTTAAACAATGCCTCTTATGTGTTATTTCCTGTTCGACTGTGGGGGCAATCCATCTAATGTGAATCCGATAGCAGTGGTCTAATCAAAACTTTCTCCACCAAATGGGCGCGTGGTTTGGTAGACATCCAGCACTGGTGCATCACCACCAGACCTTGCCTCCATGTTCTCATGGGTTATCGCGATAACTGGAAATCCCAAGTTAGAGAATTGTAGCCTCTTCGATATGAAGCCACGAGCCACCACTGGCTACAAGCATTGAGCACAAGCTTCCAGTGCCCCCAGCCCACTCCTAGAGCTATGCCTCATTATTGGCCTTGGCGGCTGATAGTACGATTTTAAAATAGCATCATTTTGCAATGTCAACGTGTGACGCATCGCACAGTATTCGCTCACCCTGAGAGAGAGAGAACGACTCAAGAGGCACAATGAGCCAAAGGCAACCGTGAAGGGAGCCAGGCGGTGACAAAGCTCTCCTCTGTTAAAGGTCCATCAGCCACTTGAACACGTTCCTTCGGAGTGAGCAGCAGGTAGCAACTTGGTTGGACGGCGCATTCGTGCGATCCGTGTCACGCGGCGCGAGCTTCGTGGGGCGGCGCGTCACGTGGTGCCGAGCCCGCTCGAAGCGCTCTGAAATACAAATCGAGGGCGTGGCTATGCACGACGGAGACAAAGAATCCCTGGCGGGGGGCAGCGTGGAACTGTTGTTGTTCCTACCTGTACCTGTTGTTACTACCTGTATCACTATACATGCACTGCCTGCTCATGGCGAGCCAGGGTATGGCTCAACGCCCACGGGGAGTTTAAGATTTGTGCTACCCATCACATCAGCATTCCTGGGCTATAGGAGGGCGATACCTACTTTATCCAGGAAATGTTTGGTCCTGATGGATCAGTGAACGCAGTCCTGGACTACAGCAGGAAAACCGCCCATTTTCATTTCTTACAAAGCGTTACCTCTTCCACGAAATGCTTGGTCAGCGTGGAAGAGGCCAATAACACCCCTCCAAAGCTCCCTCGAGTAGAAGTCTTTCCACTAGCAGTGGAGTGACCACAAATTTTCAGGGCCAGACCTTGACCAGTGGCTATCAAAAGACCCCAGTGGTGACAAGAATCGTCACAATGCTCGTCTGTGCATGGATGCATTCCGACTTGGCGACAACGGTAAATCCTTTTCAGATAATTGGGATTTATGCTCCGTTCCCTCGCACGCATTTTGCATGCGGATAATTAAAAGCCAACGTGACCCCCATGCATAGCAAGGTGGTAGCAGGCAACGATCGGTCTATATGGCCGGTAATGTTTTTGCTGTACTGCCTCCTACTGGCCAGAAAACAGCTGGGCAGGCTTGGACTTAACGGGCATGGATGTATTCCAATTGTGCCCACGCATGCATTCGTTCGGCGCCCTGAGTACAAGCACCAGAGATGGATCATAATCACGTCTGCTTTATCTGCTTCAACTTTAATGCATAATCGGATTTTTTGCTTAAATGTCTTGCGTGCATCCATCGACCACGAATGTGATGCACCATCCATGCAGGAATTGGGCGATGCATATACATGTTGGAACACGTATGACCATGAAAAACACAAGTTAAAGAAATTTGCAGTGAAGGACTTGGTGACCTAATCCTTAATTGTGCGTCTATATGGCTGGTTACATCAGTTAAAACGTGTGGGCAAGTTTTATATTAATGGTTTGTGAATTCATTGTAAGATTTAGTCGTCGTTGTGTCATGACAGCAGATATTTAACATTTAGAGCTTGCGGGATAAAAGGAAATATCTGGGTGAGCTACATGGGTTGGAGATTGTTTGCAACCGATAGCATGTTTTATACACCAGTGTAACACGTAGGCTTTTTGTACATCAGTTCGTATAAAAATGAATAGTATTTTAAGCCAAAGGCAAACTCAATACTGCCACTAAAAGCATCACATTAAATGACACATACAATATTGATGCACTTTTAAACATTCAAGCAAATGCCAAAAAAATGAAAACCAATCAGTGGCAAATTATTTAATGGATAAACTTCTTGTAGAAATTTTTACCACATTCAGCCTGTAAAATACACAACGGTGTCAATGTATCATGGGGGGCTTGCATTGTAGTTACATATTTGGAGGCATTCCAAAATAAGATATTAAAGGACAATTTCGCTTTCAAGTCGAACCATATAGGACTTGCGGAAGTAAACACTGCATGTGTTTATTCAGAACACCAAGCTGATGCATACCCCACATTTTAAGAAATGAGAAACTTCACACAATTCACTTGAAGTGAACCTGTAGAAGGCATACTTGTATAATAAGACAACTTTAGCATAGAGACTGTGGGCAGGAAAGAAAACTGTTTAAACAATGCCATTCACCAGACAAACAACAAACACCAAGCAGTTGCTTCCCATCTACAGCTGTCCAGGTGTATGGTGCCATGTGGGATGGATCATCGCCATCATCAGCCACGATCAATCCCACCGCTGGACGTTGGCCTTCCCAATGCGTCGCCATCTCTCGCGATCCTGCGACATGCAATAATCGTTGGGTGGATCGAGAGATATATATAATGGGTCACCACATTCAAAAGATGTCTGGAGCAAGTTGTCACGCAGCATCCAGCAGTGAGCACTGCGGTGTCATGCGGGCGGTGAGAGGGCCAGCCGTCGGGGGCCGGGTGGTGTGGTAGCTTTAGCGACGGTCGTTGGTGCCGCTGCCACGCTTGCCGGTGAACAGGTGCTTGGGCTTGAGGTCGGGGATGTGTCGGTCGCCCTCGCCTCTCCTGCCCTTGCGTCCCATCGGCTTCTGAGACTTTTTCATTATTAACTTCGCCTTCTTGGCCATCTGCAGATTACACGGAAACAACACAGACGGTAAAGCACTCAAGACATTTTGCGAGGTGGTAAAGGTGCAGGCAGGCAGCCCTGCAATTGATTGTGCTCAAGGCCACTGCTGGCAGAAGGGAGCCTCCAATAGAGGGAGCTTGAGAAGGCTCCTCTGAAGGGTATTTGGCTTGCTCTTCCATGCTGACCTGACCTCCACAGGACCTGCCGATCAACTGTAACTGTACCAATTATCCTGCTGGATGGACAGAGGCGGGGGGGGATATTTAAGAAATTCCAAATCTTTAATCTGCCACGTCGGGAAATCAAACCGGTGACGTCTGCAATGAAAGTCCAGTGTGGTATCCATAACACAATGGCAGCAACTACATGACTTTTGCTTCCAAAATAAATTAAGAGGTGGTCGGCTGGCTCAAAGGTCAGAGCACTGAGCTGGTATTGGCCAAGAACCTGGGTTCATATCTCAGCAGCCAGCTGTGACTCAACGGGAGTTTATGAACCCGGTCAACTATGAGATAAAAAACACATCCATCGCATTAAATTTGGTTTTGCACTTCATTTCGCAAAATTCGAGCTCTGAGATTAAAATATAACAGTTTGACTGTTGTGTAAACAATTTTCACTACATCAGCGCTCTTCACACATTTTCAGAGGGGGGCCACTTTCGCCAAGGGGTGCTTTAACATTTGTATATTGTTGGTGGCCGCACGTCAGAGGCCTCACTAAAGGCCACCAGCGGCCCGTGGGGCTTGCAATAAAGAACACTGCACTATATCATGGCGGATGGCAAGTGCTGCCCCCTAGTGTGGATAAGAGGTCACTTGAAGGGATCTCAGAAGTAGTTCTGTGTTATCTCCTTCTGCGAACCATTATTCAACACAGGATAATACACCATTGCTATTCGAGTTCCGAATAGGTTGTGCTTATCATGATGCTTTTAAGACAGCACAATGAGTATACAATTGAAGATTAATTGAAGACTAAAACATAATTTCATTTAAAATATTTCACTTTACATTTTAATATTAATAAAATCATACCCATGCAAAAGCATAGTATATTTATTGCCAGTTTAAAAATGTATTTAAATACTGTCGTGTCTAGCTTACAAACACGGCATTGCAAAGGATAACGTTTATACTCTAGCCCACGACCAAGCATGGTGGTGGCACACCCATGGTCCAGGGCTTTGGAGGCAAGGGTTGGTAGATCACACGGGTGTGTGAAACTCCCAAACTGGGCAACAAAGTAGCCGGGAGAAGACAGGAGGTCGGGTGGATCATTGAATCCAACTGCATGGACCTTTGAGGGTTATCCCCTTCGTATTTGCGCGTGTTTTCTGAGGACACTCCAGTATCCTCCCACGTGCAAAGCAGTCATGAATGGAATTTTCCAAACATTTAAATAAAAGACCCGCTTCAAAACAAATTTGCAGACTGATGTTTTCCTGAACAAAGTAAATAATTCTCATTCGACAATAACAGGTTAATAAAACCAAATACCAAGATGTTTTCTGTAGCCTACAGTAAATCGTGTGTGGGCTGCACAGTCATCCCCAAGAAGCCACCAGGAAACCGCTCGCTGGCATGCACCGGAGCTGATGAGATCACGGCTACGTGATGCTCGATGCAACGAGGCAAACGTGTCGATGCCGCCCACGGCGAACAGGGCGTTGTACTGTACCTCCAGGTCACGCACGCCCGACTGGTCACGCGGGGGGCGGGAGTTGCTGCGGCTGCGCACCCGCGCAGTGGACTCCACCGACTCGCCACGCTTGCGCTTGCGCGTGACGCTGCGCGAGCGCTGCGTCGCGTAGTGGGCCTGCAGAGAGGACGCCACCGAGGGGAGGGTTAAACGTCAGAACAAAGCCAGTCCATGGCACTGGTAAAAGCCTTTGGGGGAGTATTGAAATAATGTAACAAAAATCGAACTTTGACAAAAAGGTAAGTTGAAAAATTCAACCCGTTCTTCTGCTAAACAGTATTACAGAGGCTGTAAAAAAGGTATTAACGACACAGGCATCAACAATGAATGTATTACAAGTAAAATGCTCAAGACAAACGGGAGGGTGCAGGGTAATGTGATGGTGACGCTCACCCCATCCTTGTCAGTCATGTCCAATCCAAGCTCCGTCATCTCTTTCTCCAGCGTCTTCCTCTCGACCTGGTAAAACAAAAGCAACGGGGGTGAGCACTGAACGTGAACAAACACGGCCCCTTCCCACAGCGCCGAGTCTTTCACCGCAGAAGGGGACATGGCAGAATATCTGGGGGGGGTGGGAGACGGGGAGAGGCGGTGGTGTGAAGGTGGTGGGCCGGCGGCGGTACCTTCTTGGCGGTACGGGGCATGTGGGTGCCAGACTCCTTGAGGCGCGACTCGATGATGCGCAGCTGCTTCTTCTCGCGGATTCGTGCGGCGAGCGTGCGGATGTGGTGCGCCTCCTCGTCCTCGCTCTCGTCGTCGCTCTCATACTCGCCCGCCGCCACGCGCAGGCCCTCCTCCTGCTCCAGCTCATCCAGTTTCTGGCAGTGCCGACGGGAGTCGCCGCATGATGATGCAAAAATCAACGGTTATGTTCAAATCCAGATCAAAGAAAATCTTCCCTGTGTCATTTGGCTCACCAAAATCAGATTCAACCATTTTTTTGTTCTCAAATTATTTAATTCGTACATATTTAATACATTGTAGACAGCGTTCCAAGTTCATTTTGATCATCCTTTTAAAAGAGCCGTTTAGCTCAATGGGCTTTAAAGTCTAATTTTATTTTTGATGGGCCTTGAAATGCCACCGGTGACAAGCTCCTTTAGCCAAAATATCCCCCAGTCTTTTTAGCTCAGGGATGTAACCTTTCTGCACGTGGGCCACAATGGTGGAAATCAACTACGCGGTAATTCTCAAGTTCGAGCAACGTCACTCGCAAATGTGGCTTCACATTTGCGACGCCGCTGTGTTCACAACAGTGCCCACTGCGGGATAGCCCGTTCAAGGCAACCGGCCCCGCCGCGCGTTTGCCGAGTATCGTGCGACCATGGTTACTGGTGGGCCGGTCAAAACCAGGGTCCGTAGGTTGCATAACCCATGCCTGATAACCCCATACTTGTCAACCCCTTATCAGTGCCTACCTTATTACAGATCAAATCAGACTATTGGTCACCCCGTGCCCTTAGAAATCTCAACGTTCATCCTACAAAGCCCCATCACAAGGGAGAAACACAAAGAAAAAAATGTGGCCCATATTGAAACGGCTGTACACTGTATGGACCTGAAAACTCAATTTCCCTGTACAAGAATACGGGTAAACTGTATGGATTAACAGGTAAGCAATCCTAACAATCCAAACTTCCGCACTTGTTGTTTCCCAAGAATTTCCCGCGGAGCCGCCGAGTGGCCAGGCTGTGAAAGGCACCTTCAAGATGTCGGGGTCCACGAAGTCGGCGATGTTGTGTCCTTCCCACAACTCGGGGACAATGTCGTACCGCTCGCTCTCCTTTACATCCCAGTGCTCTGCATGACGCGACACCACCACACAACACACATTGCATGCTTACGAATATCTACACGCATGTCAATATTCTTCAAGTCTCCCGTGTAAATGCAGTCTATATGTGGATAGTTGTTTCTGCACTCAGCTCTGGGAAGGGCGGTGATAAAAATTAATACGATAACAGTATTTGATTTGTGCCTGTTCACTCTTGTAAGTTGCTCGTGCATGCACTATACAGGCATGCGATTCTTGTTGCTACAATTCTGCAACTCCTCCCCTCATGGTTGCAACCGTTATGGAGCTGTGTAAATTTGCGGATCACCAGCTACAATGGCCAGGCAATTGGGTGAAGAATTAGCAGGATTGCTCACTTTGCATTTCAAGGATGTAGTCGTCACCCATTTCCATTTCCAAGTCTCGCTCCTGCAACAGAACGACACGTTGACACTCCATTCACCTCCTCAAGAGACCACAGTGACAAAGATATTGAAGAATTATAGATCCTGTTCAGGGCGCTTTTGCACACTTCTAACAAACACATTAAGGCCGTTGACACCAACGCAACACAGGAAAATGCAATCTACTCAAATACTTGAAAATGTCGATAGAAAACTGTCGAGGTAACACAATCAAAACATTTCACGCAATCATTTTATGAAAACATTATTCCCTTCCCCAATTTTACTCCAGAGAGTAATACTTGTCGCATGAAAGTCAAAGCATTATTTGTAATTCTCAGAGCTGGAATTAGCCTAATTGACAGTAAGAATACATTTAATGTGCTAATTCTAAGGCAAGTCATTTCTGAATCACTACATTTGAGAACCCGGTTTCATTACCAGTGGCCACCAGGACGTCAGTAGTGCCAGCATTGGCGCAATGACCTTTGAGCCACCGGTCACCTTCATACAGTCATTATTGACACTAAAAAGAATTCACAATACTGAACTGAACGTTATGAAGCTGTATTACAAGTGCACTGGGGCAGTGCAGAAATGGCCCGCTGTAGGGATGCACTACTGCGCAAGGGATGAGTGACCCCACCAGTCTGCGCTTCGGAGCGCTGGTCTCCATTTCACGTTTCTTCAGCGCCCCCTCTGGGATGAACGGCAATCGCTCCTGCACAAACATCACGATCCATTCAAATCAGGGCATGCGTTTTATTTATTGCGTCTGATCAACTCTTTAAGATGCAACCAAAACCAGAAATCACTTATCTTGTGCATACATACCTGTGTTCTGGGCTGTCTAGATGTGCGACTGAAACTACGTTAATACCGAGGCCTTAAGATCGCCGGGTCAGGCACAGCTGCCACAATGCGCTCAACTAACGTCACGAATGATGATGCATTAAAAGTTATGTCAGCAGTGCATTAGACACACGGTTGATCAAGCTTGTTAAATCTTGCTTCTCATTAACGAAGCTTCAAATGTATTACAGCACAGGACACATCCCAGGGTAAGCGTCTGAAGAATCAACTTGTTTTAATTCAGGTCGCATTATTCTTCAAAGCAACGCACTACTACGGATGCCTGTTCAGTTGACGGGAGTGAGCTAGCATAGGCTCACCTTGGCGTCGCGCTTGGCGGGCATGGCCAGGTGCAGCCGGTTGAGCACATCGTTCACCTTCTTTCCCTTCATCTTGGCGTCCACACGATGGGTCAGCAGCTGGTCGCACGCCTGTAACACAGCGCCAGCATGTTTTCAAAATGGGCGGGATGATACCAGAGTAAGCGTAATGCAAGGACCCGACATTTCTAATGATGTAGAAAAACGGATGTGAAAGATTGTTCCAACTAATATTATGTACAACATTAAAACACTGCAGAAAGCAAGCATTGTGACGACACCAAAGCAATAACCGCATACGATTATTAATTTAAAGATTCACCTCTCCAGGGAGTCTATTAATTGCCACAATTGAAGAACCCATTGTTTTTGCCATCTCGCTTGTAATGTCATTTGTGTAGTTTTTTGTATACATTTCATTTGCATATACTACTTGCATGCACACTTACACAAAATGAGAAACATTGATGCATGGAATCATGAGTCATAAGGATTGTTATATATTGATGTATTGATGCATGGTTAAACCCCTATTTGTGATACTGTAACAAATCATGAAGCACGCTAGTCATTCCAAGAGTCCGTACATATGTATGTACGTTGAACTTATTTCACACTGTTTGTAGCCAGCCGTGCGTATCATAGGCGCGTACGATACAAACCTCGGTTTTGACTTTAATGACTCCTTCTTCAGTTAGGGTACTCGTCTCGATCACAAGAATATTCTCCTTCTCAAAGTCCTCAAAGACTTTCTGATGAGAAAAGATGCGTATGTATTACATATGGCTCGTAGTTGAGAAACAAAACACCGACATGCGGGTTAAAGCAACATTATTTTAAACGGATGAATACAAGAGACATCTCGTACCCTCTTGTCCTCCGGCAGCTCAGACAGACGCACGACATCGCACTTGTTGGACACGATGATGAGAGGCTGTGGAAAAAGACGACAACAAGCTGGGTTAATTACACGCAGGGCCGCGACACAGCCGACAGATGAATTGGCACTTTCCTATCAACTGTGATTTGACAATTTGTCACAACCTAACCCAAAATGCTTTCTCTCATTGTTACAAGTTCAAATAAACTCCTTAAAAAAGTTTTTTTCAAAACGGTTTTATTAACAACTCGGTTTAACTTACGGTCGAGACGTACATCAATGATATGGCGCCTGCTCCCACAACACTTAATTTAATTAATTGATTATTTCCATAACTCGTTCACACGGAGCAGGCGATTCGAAAGTTGATGGACTGCAGCGTTTTTTACCTACACAAATATATAAATAATAAGGCGTCCATACAAAATGTAAATTGCTTTAAAGTAGTGAATTGATTGATTAATTGGTGCCAATTTTTATACAGGCATGCATTCTCACCGGATCTGAGTACGTGTGCAAAATGTAGAATTGATTGGACAACAGGAATTAGACTAAATTTTGATTACAAAATTTGACCACGACAAACATAGGAGTCAAGTTAAGTAAAACCGTTGAAAAAATCCATTACTTTAGTCCAGTTTGTAATCTATCATTTATATTGACGCAATCATTGATGTCTTGTTCTGTCTTATTCATTACATTAAACTATTTGCTTACAATTGACATATTGGTAATGCAATTGGTACAGGCCGAGTTTGATGTATTATGATCTTATGAGGGAAAATAAGCCACAAGGCATCAAGAGAGAAACAAGCAAAACACAACATGCCCTTAACTGGCACATACGTGCCTTAAAGCACTGTATAACCTTCACCCAACAGATTTTTCTCAGTTCAATAGCGGTATGACAACCACGTAGCACCGAATTACCTGGAATGTCTGATCTTGTCAGATCTCAGAAGCCAAACAGGCTTGCGTTCAGATGGGTGACCAGCCATGCACACACACAGGGCAGCAGATGGTGCTATATGTTGACCACCTTCACCAGCCCACAACTACCAGAGTGTAGAAATTTGGAGGTCCTCAGGCAGCAATGGATTTATAAACAAGCTATAAAAGCATACGCGGTACCGTACCCACGGTATAAAATGTACATGTCAGTGACGAACAACCATGGCGAGCCAAGCCGACGCAAGGTATCGACGGACCTTGTTAGCAAAGAGCGGGCGGATGTTGTTGAAGAGCTCCAGCTGCTGCTCGAGCGAGTGGCCACACTGCTCCGAGGGGTCGGTCACGTAGAGCACGGCGGCGCGCAGGTGAGCCAGCGCTGTGATGGCCTGCATCTCGATGGTGTTCCGCTCCTCCAGCGGATGGTCCAGGATGCCAGGCGTGTCCACCACCTACACCGCGCACAGTGCGAGCGAGCACGAGGGACACCATCAACCCCAGATATCAACATCGGCATTCCTCGCTGTGCAACAGCGTTGTGACCGTGCAATATTCTCTCATTATTTGCAAGGGATACGTTCCGAAGATGCTCGCGAATAGAACATTTTGTGGATAATATTTAATGAATTAGCGAGAAATACATTAATAAGCAATAAAAAACATGAATTATGATATCTCTCATCGCTTTATCTCATCACTATCTCGCACTCTCTCATCATTTCATCACTTAATCTCACTCCCACACCTCCAATTAGCACAGTGGGCTACCTTCAGTGCGAAAGAAGTTAATATTTTATCTCATCACTTTCTCACATCGGTCTCTCATCACTTTCTCTCGATGCAGTCGTGTAGAGTTCCAGATAAGCTATTCGTGGAGAGCCAAAATCGCCGATAGCAAATTAGTGAATAACGAGGTAATACTGTACTTAATTTTAACGCTTTCTGTAAAGGATAAGGTCGTCATAAATGTGCGTGCAGGCTGCCAACAAAAACAAGCGACTTATTGGATGGAAAAGGATACACGTTGTGACCACAAACTCGATCCATGCCTTGAACGTCACACGACAGCACCAAATTGCTTGTAAAATAAAAACAGCCTTCTTTAAAACCACTTGAGATGTTGTCTAAAACAATGATGTGCATTTTACACATAGCATGGTGGACGTTCGTTTGATCGGACATGTTTTCCAGCAGAGTGAATGTGATTTCTGCTGAGGCCGTGCTCATCCTCTAATCATCCTTAGACAGTGGCGGAAATTCCACATTAATAAGACCGGGGGCGGGGGTGTGAGGCAAACCACAGAACAATCACTGTTGATGTCTCACAAGGTGTTATTCACCGTGGAGAGCAAAAGGCAAATAGAACCTCTGGCCAAAATTTTAACTGTGCTACCTAGAAAGAATTCACAAGGTGCACCTCTTTTGAGAGTGCGAATGACAAATTGTGTCTAGAGGCACAGTTGACACTCACCTGCCAGCGCAGGTACTTGTAGTCCATGTGTCCCACAAACAGGGACTTGGTGGTGAAGGCGTAGGGCTGCACCTCCACATCAGCGCGTGTGATCTGCACGGCATGAGGGCCACAAAACCAAACGCAAGATAGGCTTTAGATACTCTACGTTAATACCACAACTAATAATAAAACACGATTTATAACGTGCACATTTTAAGAATTGGACGTGCAGCCAAAGCTCAAACTGCCCAGTACACCGGCCTTAACAGAGGGAGGATGGAACAGGTTGAGTTGGTACTTGAAGGTGGATGGTGCTTGGTTACTGGGAGAGTTACAGACGATTGGTGCAGCTACTATTATTTCACTAAGACATTACATTAGTGTTTTGGAATATGACCAATATTATGTTATATTTATCATATATGATCATATATGTTGATCACCTACACTTGCTTTAATAACATGGAAGTTAATACACGCGCGTAGAAGCATGGTTTTCCAAAGGCACAAAGAACTTACCTTGTTGATAAAGCTGGACTTTCCAACGTTTGGGTAACCACACAGTAGCAGAGTTCTTGTGTTGGGGTCGATGGATGGCAGACGGGACAAGTGCTGACGAACTTTAAACACAAACACAACAATGAGCCTCCTGTGTTTTCTGTTCAATTATAGCAGCAAGAGCACTAATTAAGAAAAATTAAATATTTAACAGAAACAGCACTAATTAAGAAAAATAAAATATTTTACGCATCATATATTGTATGTAAAAGCACCAATTGTTTTAACCGATTCAAGACAATAGGCTGTAACAATGCACCGATTCATCTATTGCGATGCTTATACGCATCAAATGGTGTCCGAATGACGACTGTTATGTGCGGTTACATTTCGGGGAAAGGGGGCAAACGAAACTATACAAACACGACAGAAACGCAAGATGGGTAAAATGTGACTAAAATATTTGTTTAAAATAACAATCCAGATTCGTAACAAAGTTTCAAGTCAAAATTTAGATTCGTAACAATTTAACTAATTTCTAGGAGTGGGCGGACGATTGAACAGTTACAGGCATACCACCCACCTTGCTCCAGGTACTCCAGACTCTGAGTCTGTCGCTTGATGATGGTGCACATTCGGCCCAGGGCTGCTCGCTTGAGTTGCTTACATCGGTACAGCGAGTCCCCGTACTTAAGCAGGCGCACGTAGTCCTTCGCCACGCTGGGCGGCAACGACAACAACCACGGTCAACTCGCAACATGGGCCCACCGGGACTTGGTTCCTTTTTATAGTGCTGTGTCAATACATTGCTGAAAGCCTCCCAAATCCACGCCGGTAAGGTGACCATGCTTCACTATGCTGGTCAGTGCGAGTTGGGGAACAAGCGAGTCCCATGACGAGTTCAGATATCACTCGCCACAGATGTTAACTATGGGCAGGAATTGAACTCATGTCCGTGGATTCAGAGCACAGTGCGCATTGGAGGAAATGCAGAAGACAAGGAACGTTAAAAGAGATATTGCAAAACAGTATTAGTAGAACATTGATCTATGTGGGATATTTATAGCATTATTTTAAATTAAACTTAACAGTAACTTACTTGTCAATGAGGTTTTTCGCAATGTTGATCTGTCCCAGTGCCAATTTGTAGTGATCTTTGTCGTACAAAACGTTCATGAGGTCCGCATAAAATGGATGCACATCCTGAAAGAAAAAAACATCGTATGTTATCAGATGCAATGTACAAATCGCAAGTGGTGCTACTGACTTCTAAAAATGCTAATTATATGGAAGTATATTTTACAAGCAACAAAATGAATGCGTGTGCAGGCCAAATATTGAGTTTCTAGTTTCGTACTGAAGATTGAATAATTGCACTGAGGATGTTGTTCATTCGACTATCATATCTGGTTTCAAGCCGATAGGAATTTAACGTTTTTCTTAGCATTCACGAGGTTAACAAATGTGTTCACAAATTTGTTCACAAATAAAAAAAAAATGTGGCATTGAAAGGTTCGTGCAATATAACGCCAGCCTGCCCTACTTTAAGGGTACATCGAAACATCTGGCCACAAACACTGCGTGTAAGGCAAGATGCACTATTTAGCGCAGGGGTATCCAAACTTTTTGCAAAGAGGGCCACATTTGATAAAGTGAAGATGCCCGGGGGCCAATAGATCATTTTGACATTGTTTTAACCACAAAAGTTACGTGGGAATACACACTGTTATAAAAAAATGTCATTGTCACAATTACCTTCATTTTTCAAATGACAATGTAACCAAATATAAGCCACTCAGGCAGACGTGAACTCTAAAAACGCAATTCTGCCTTTCATTCAGTCAGATAACATTGAACAAACTGTATAGAATACCTTAAATTTCCATGAGCTTTATGATGTATTTATTCTGACAGAGCTAGCGATCCATAAATAACACATTATAAGACCAAAGCTGCGGCCATATGAAATCTGACCGCGGGCCGTGATTGGCCCGCGGGCCGGACTTTGGACATGCCTGATTTAGAGTGTGCCTGGATCACAAGTCGTGTAAAATCTTGGCCTTACATCCATTTTTGGGAAGTCGGTGAGGATCTGGCTCAGCCTGTCATGGTAATTCTGCTGCGTGTACTTGATCTTGCGCATGTAGAACTGGCGAATGCGGGCGATCTGGTAGTGGCGGTGGATGACCGTGGGCGTCTTGCGCTGGGTCTTGGACAGCGTTATATCTATGAAGTCCTGTAATGAAGAAATGCGTGTTAATACATGCCCTGAACGCCCACACAAGCCCTATAAAAACAAATGACAATGTTTTCGACTGGCTGCCATATAGTTACCATTGTTCAGCAATCCCACCCAGACTATCCTAAACACTTCCGAGGTTAGCACGCTCAACCCAGCGGTCAAATTACTTGCAACCCAACACGAAAGGTCGCCGTACCTCAAATTATCACGGTTGGTTACGTACGGTGCGAAAGAAGTTCAAGCTTAAATACACATTCCCCGGCACACCCAGCTTCGAATCGAAGACCCCATATGTATACTACCACATCTCTCCTTGGTTCAGTACAGCATCCCCGACTCCCTCTCAACCCCCTACCCCTCATAGCCCAGCCCTCCTTGCTAGCCAAACAATCCCAGCACCTCTAATCCGTCACAGCACCCACATCCCTCCCAGTCCACTCTCAGCACACCTATCAATCCCAGAACTTGTTAACCTCCCAGCCGAGCGCTCCCCGAGGTTTTACAGCTCCGTTACCACAGGCCTGCACAAGGCCTCATGGACCACGGCCGCACCAACTCCACACCGACCGTCATCCCAACTCTCAACACAGCTCAATTCAACTCAACCCGGTCGCGCATCTCCCCGCGGGTTGGCACACCTTGGAGGTAGGGACCACCATGATCTTCTTGAAGTTGTAGAGCGCCATGATGACCACGTGTGCGCTACGACTGCTGCTGCTTCACCTCTCCTCGCCACGTGCTACGCGCCTCCTCTTCCGGTGTCCGCGGTGCGCATGCGCCTTGCCACCACCTTCTCTCCCCCCCCTGCAACTCCTATTGGTCGACGAATGAAAACACATGACGCGCGGTAACCAATCACGCGCCCGTGTTACCGTGGGGGAACATAAAAATAAAATAAAAATCACGACGTTTCGGATTTTTATTTTATTTTTATTTTGATGTTTTACTTACGTGACTTAACCGAAAAAACCTAAGAATATGAATCTTTGCAGTCACGAAAGCTTCAAATTTAGAATTAACCGCGGGGGAAGTCTCACGAGAATGGGGCGGCGTTTCCGCGCGACTTCGCGGTGGCGTCACGCGGATTCATCAGTGGCGATTCAATTCCGCGATTCCAACGATTCGATTCCGCCTTAAACGATCCGCAAAATGAAATGTACTCTCATCATTGTAAAGCCTCATGATCATCACACATTTATTTATGCAAAACTAGTTACTACTGGCCAAGACTAATTAGACAACCTATCAAAATTGAGAGAAATAAAACATAATTGTAACCGTTCTGATAGCTACAGGCTTCGTGCCGCTTGTAGCGAATCATCAAGTAATACATTGTTTAAGTGAATTCCTATACAGGTCACCATACATGAATGGGGGTGGGGGGGAATTACGTGTACGCAGACAATAACAGGTATTGCTATTTTATTGTTCGCAAACGACTGGAGGTACAAGAACAATACATGCATAATGTAAGGTGATCGATTACCACATGAATAACCCAGCCGGCAATGGATACCCATTGTCATTTATGTTTTTTTCAGTTGCATTTATTTGTATAGCCCTGTGAGCCAGTCGGCTCTTTAATCGGGTACAACCGCAACAAACAAAAAACTAAAACAGGAACCAGAAAACATCTTAAAGTGAATTTCGATTTAAAGCTTTCGTGACTGCAGGGATTCATCTTGTTGGTTCTTTCAGTAAAGTCACGTAGAAGGGAAATAATAAAATAATAAAAATAAAACTAAATAAAATAATTCTTACGACGTTTCGGCCACAACGCAAGCAGCCGTCCTCAGGTGAAGAACAGGTCTGTCGAGAAGACAGCGTCTGAATGAAATTTTATTTTGTTTTTTATTATTTTACTAGCAGAAGTACCCGGCGTCGCCCGGGTGAAAAATATATTTCTTAATAACCTTACATCTAACCTATATAATTCATTTTTTGTCTGTCTGTCTATCTGTCTGTCTGTCTGTTTGTCCGTCTGCGTACGCTCCCTTCTGGGGGATTTAGCTCTCGGACCGTGGGGTTCGCCGAGATTAAATTTTGCAGGTGGGCACGCCCCCGGCCCGCGGTAAACTTAGGCACTTCCGATTTTTCGTCTCTAAACTTTAAATCGGACCGATTATCGATTTAGTGTGATTGCTCTTTATTTAGTTATTTAATTAATTATTTATTTATTTAATATTGCCGGCCGGCGCGGACCACGGCGGTTGCCCCTGGCAACGGGTAGCAACAACTTCGCTGCGGGGTGGACGCCATTTTTAATTCCCGTTACAAATATGCGCACGCATTAACACGCGATTCTGAGGTAAATTCATCAAAGTTTCACGTCCTCTTCACTCCCCTTCCACCCCAATGTGTGCAATTACTATTATAGGGTCGGTAGATAATAAAATTATAGCGATTAGACAGTATTATTGTAGCGCGGGGGGGGGGGCGTAAGAGCCCCAGTACACACCCTCAGCCGGGTGGGCAATCTAGGCGAGGCCGGAGGCTCTGCACGGTACTAGGCCTCGACACGCAACTCTGTCAGGCGACGACTTTGTGGTATAAACTCGATATACCCAGCGTTGCCCGGGGGAAAAATACATTTAAAATCTTCTGAAAACTTTAAAACATAACATACCAATGAAAATACAACTGTGTAATTAAAATTATAAACCCGACCGCGCCAAGAATCGATTCTCTGAATCGCGAAAAGGAATCGAAGGTTGTAGATTCATTTAGAATCGCCTTATTTCCGTTTTAATAAAGTTGGTTATAGAGTTGATATAAACTGCTACGAATGGGAAATATCTGGCGTTGACCGGGGCTAAAATATAATTAAAAACTCCTGAAAACTTTAAAACATAACATAACAATGAAAATAAAACTCTGTAATTAAAAATGGAAACCTCCTATGCGCCAGGAATCGATTCTTTGAATCGCGCAAAGGAATCATCGAAGGTTGTAGATTCCTTTAGGAGCGCCTTTAACATGTGGTGAGGGAGAGAGTGGTGAGGGGGAGAGTGGTGAGGGGGAGAGTGGTGAGGGGGAGAGTGGTGAGGGGGAGAGTGGTGAGGGGGAGAGTGGTGGGGAGTGGTGAGGGGGAGAGTGGTGAGGGGGAGAGTGGTGAGGGGGAGAGTGTGAGGGGGGAGAGAGGTGGTGAGGGGGGAGGGTGAGGGAGAGTGGTGAGGGGGAGAGTGTGAGGGGGAGAGGGTGAGGGGGAGAGTGGTGAGGGGAG